ATGGAAGGATTCTTAGTCTTCGATTACTTTCCTCAATATTCAAAGTTCCTGGAAGTTGTTTTGCCTTTTGTCCGAGGAAAAATTGTTTATCTTGAAGACATTACTGGCCTTGAAAATGCCCTGCTGCTCTTGTTGGTCTATACGTGGACGAATATTGGGAACGTAGTTTTAGTTGCTAGGGAGTAATTGAAGCTTTGTCTTGTATTGTTGTTGCCACTCTTCTAATAATAAAAATCGTAATCATTTTATATCAAAACAATTAGTTCTAAAACCACAATCAAATTCAAATTCAAATTGAATTGGAACAACATTTATTATTATAGACAGACTGACCTGTACGAAAGGGATGCCGTGGCGCTAAGTCTAACTAATTAATTTCATTTCTGGTATTTTCTTTCTCATAATCAACATCAGGATCATTGCTCCATTGTTATCTTCTTCCCCTTTTTCAAGTGTATCTGAGGCACCACGGTACGATATGAAAATAGTTATAACAAAACTGCAGAAAAAGCAAACGAATTGTGATACCCCTTTGAATGAATCCAGAATTTCCATAGTCGTCAAGTTCTTGCAGGATATTAGATTAGAGCCCCTCCAGAAATTCCTTGTTAAAGGCTAGCCATCTCCTGTTAAATGAATGGACAAAGTGAGGCACTGTCCAGTAAGTGATAAGAGAAACAGTGAACTTGCTGATGTGTCAGCTGGCCAAGTTTCCCTGGAATTCGACCTGTAAAACGGTTGTTGTTGGTGCAAGCTCTTTCAGATTAGTGCAGAGAAATATTTTTGGGATTTTACCCGAAAATCTTGTTGGAGGGTCAAGTGCTGGAGAAATGTTAAACTTCCCCAGATTTGAACTGGGCTAAGCCAAAAAGTGTCCCCTGAAAGGTCTAAACTACCAAGGTATGCAATTCTGAATTCCTCGGGGGAACTCTCTCTTGAGCCCCATACTTGAGGTTAATACTGATCTGAATAACCTACTCATCTTCGCCCAACAAGCCACCCGCTCATATTGACAGAAGGAACCTGGTGAATGTCGCGAAAGGTCCATGAAGATAAGCCATTGAAAGTATCTTCTAAAGAATCTTTATAGAACGAAGGCAGTACAATCGGGGTTAGGCCATTGCTTAAGCTGGAAGTACAAGCAAGATAGCAGACATTTATTTTTAAATATATTTTAGTGTTAAACAATTAGAATATCGCTTGGACTTAATTGAATAAATATTGTTCACTTTAGTCCTAACTTTTATGAATTTTTTTTAAGCTTTATAAAAGTGTCATTTACTGAGAATATGTTTATTTATGAACACCACATCTTATAGCCAATTTCAGGGTGATGTATGATATGACAACATCTATTCGGTTGGGTTTAGATTATTATAAATTCATTCTTATATATTGTTAGTTAATGCTTGCATAGTATTTAATCTATTTTACTTATTTGAACGACTTTTGCATTTCGTCCTAACTTTTATACATCTAAAAAATGCTTTTGCTTATACTATGTGGTTATTATATCTTCATGTTTTGTTTTTTGAAAGCAAGGCTTAGTAATTTTAGTTCGATCAAAATATAAGCTTATAAACATAATTTTTAGAACATTCTCACATATAAGACACAATAAACTTTTCATAATATAGATAAGACAAAATAGAGGTGGGAATTAGGCTTGGACCCAAAAAGCCCAGCCCAAAAAATCAGTCTTGTAAGGACCGTTACTAGGACCGGACCAAGCCCAAGAGAGAAGGGCCCGAGCCCAGGGCTGATCCCTCCTCCACTCCCTTCCTCAATTTCCTTTTAACCCTTGTAAAATATTCAAAACTTTCATTTTTAATATAAAATTGACAATAAATATAAGGGTTAAAATAAAGTTTAAAAAAAAAAAAATTGAAATTTCATGGACTCAGACTAGTCTCTGATTATTTGGGACCGAGCCCAGGACCGACTAGCCCGGGCCTTTCGCACCTCTAAGACAAAACATAGTATAATTCAAATATATAAAAAATGACCGTATGCTATCATTCTTGCATTAAGTATAGTTAAAATGGGCTGGCCCGGTAGTGTTGCCCTTTCATCGGGCCTTTAACTGGGCTTTGAAATGAGCTTTGTAGAAAAGTCCAAAACCATTCTTGGAGAATTTCTATTACTATTACATTGTGCTTTGAGATTGTAGCAAGTCTTAGAATCAATCCAGCGATGAATATTGAAGAAAAGTCTAGTCCACAAGCGAGGATAATCGTCATCAATCACACAAGCAAACGTAAACAAGAACCTAGAAGTGTCTTCCGCTGTTGCACAATATAATCGTCATTGCTGACTCAAATCACTTGAATTTAAACGAGATATACATCAATCATGCAACTATAAATACAATCCATAATTTTCATGCTGCAGAACCAAGAAAAAGTAATGGCTAGTGGTGGTGAAGTGATGAAGAACAAGCAAGTCATATTGAAGCACTTTATTGATGGAGCTGCAAAAGAATCTGACATGGTGGTGAAGACGAGTTCAATATCTTTGAAAGTAGAGCCAGGTTCAAATGCTGTTGTTGTGAAGAATCTTTACTTGTCTTGTGATCCTTACATAGGGAGCCGCATGAAGAAGTTCGAACATCCTGATTTCAGTTCTTTCAAACCCGGCTCTGTAAGCATTGTTTAAATATATTTGACTCAAATATTATATTAAGTAATTACAGAATCCGAAAAGTCGAAGCTGTTAGGAAAAATGTTTTTATTTTGTTTTGTTTTGTTTCTTATGCAAGCTTTCTGATGCATTTAAGTTGATGGTGGAAAATATATGCAGCCATTGGAAGGGTTTGGAGTGGCTAAAGTTGTGGATTCAGGGCATCCGGTTTTTAAGAAGGGGGATTTGGTTTGGGGGACTGTTGGATGGGAATAGTACAGTGTGATTGAGAATCCTGAAAAACTCTTCAAAATCCATCATATTGATGTTCCCTTGTCCTACTATACTGGAATTCTTGGTGAGTTCTGTTTCCTCTCTTGTTGATCTCAAGGTCTTTCTGAATATTTGCATGCAATTACTATAGTATTTTCTGTTCTGTTTAGATGGATTTTCCCAGGTTCACACTCCTTTCAGAATATTAATTTGTTGATAAACTCTTGAGGATAGTATTAATTCTAGTTTGAAGCAATATGAATTGATAAGATCACTTGTTTGTGTTTTGTTTTGTTTATAGGTATGCCTGGTATCACTGCTTGGGCTGGTTTCTATGAAGTGGCTGCTCCTAAGAAAGGAGAATATGTCTTTGTTTCAGCGGCAGCAGGTGCAGTTGGTCAGCTTGTTGGGCAATTTGCAAAATTAATGGGCTGCTACGTTGTTGGTAGTGCTGGAAGTAAAGAAAAGGTGAGCAAATTCCTCTTGGAATACCTCATTATCGCATCTCACATCAGCAGTAAATAATTCTGAGATTCAGTTTTTAATGCTTCAGTCCGCTTGCCTAAGTAGGTACGTGTAAAGTCCATGTTATCCAATTTGTGGTTATAATTAATCTTTTCTCGTACAAATATTTTAGGTTGAAATTTTGAAGAACAAGTTGGGGTTTGATGATGCTTTCAACTACAAGGAGGAGAATGACTTGGATGCAGCTTTGAAAAGGTGAAGTTTCAGGAAAAGAAGAGTGGAAGCAGGGGCCATTCCCCCCTCAAACTGAAAAAATTCTTAGAATGGAAACTCATTGGACATTTCCATTTTTTTTATTTTTTTTTATTTTTTGCAGGTGCTTTCCTGAGGGCATTGACATTTACTTTGACAACGTAGGAGGAAAAATGCTGGATGCAGTGCTTCTAAACATGAGACTCAAGGGTCGAATTGCGGTGTGTGGAATGATCTCACAGTACAATCTTAGCCAGCATGAAGGTGTGCACAATTTGATGAACACTCTTATAAAGCGGATTCGCATGGAAGGATTCGTAGTCTTCGATTACTTTCCTCAATACTCAAAGTTCCTGGAAGTTGTTTTGCCTTTGATCCGAGAAGGAAAGATTGTTTATCTTGAAGACATTACTGAAGGCCTTGAGAATGCTCCTGCTGCTCTTGTTGGTCTATTCAGTGGACGCAATATTGGGAAACAAGTAGTTTTAGTTGCTAGGGAGTAATTGAAGCCTTGTCTTGTATATGTTGTTGTCACTCTTCTAATAAATAAAAATCGTAATCTATTTATATCAAAACAAATTAGTTCTAAAACACAATCAAATTCAAATTCAAATTAAATTGGAACAACATTTATTATTATTGACAGACATGAGCCTTGTACGAAAAGGGATGCCGATGGCGCTAAGTCTAATCTAATTAAGTTCATTTCTGGTATTTTTCTTTCTCATAATCAACATCAGGATCATTGCTCCCATTGTTATCTTCTTCCCCTTTTTCAAGTGTATCTGAGGCACACGGTACGATATGAAAATAGTTATAACAGAAACTGCAGAAAAAGCAAAACGAATTGTGATACCCCTTTTGAATGAATCCATGACTTTCCATAGATCGTCAAGTTCTTTGCAGGATATTAGATTAGAGCCCCTCCAGAAAGTCCCTTGTTAAAGGCATAGCCATCTTCTGTTAAATTGACATGGACAAAGTGAGGCACTGGTCCAGATAAGTGATTAAGAGAAACAGTGAACTTGCTGATGTGTCGAAGCTGGCCAAGTTTCCCTGGAATTCGACCTGTAAAACGGTTGTTGTTGAGTGCAAGCTCTTTCAGATTAGTGCAGAGAAATATTTTTTATGGGATTTTACCCGAAAATCTGTTGTTGGAGCGGTCAAGTGCTGAGAGAAATGTTAAACTTCCCCAGATTTGAACTGGGACTAAGCCAAAAAGTTGGCCCCCTGAAAGGTCTAAACGTACCAAGGTCATGCAATTCTGAATTCCTCGTGGGAACTCTCTCTTGAGCCCCATATCTGTGAGGTTAATACTGAGTCTGAATAACCTGACATCATCTTCGCCCCAACAAGCCACCCGCTCATATTGACAGAAGGAACCTGGTGTAATGTCGCGAAAGGTCCATGAAGATAAGCCATTGAAAGTATCTTCTAAAGAATCTTTATAGAACGAAGGCAGTACAAATCGAGGGTTAGGCCATTGCTAAAGCTGGAAGTACTAGCAAGATAGCAGACAGAGTAGAGAACAAGAACAAAAAACTGTTTCACTAAATGCCATTTGCTTATGTTTACAAAGAATATACAGAAATTGACTGAACTGACTAATGATGCTTATTCGTAACCTGCAAAGAACATACCGAAATTAATTTGGAAAACAAGCATAAAGTGAGAGCCATTTTCTGCATTTCCAAACCAATGTGCTGACAGAAGGATAGTTTAGGTTGAAGGGATTTATAATTTCTGTGGCTTTTAATCTCCAATAGTTCAGGAGACTTCACATTGAAAAACAGAGGACTGATGTGGGTTAGAAAGATAGATGACGGATAGAGCTTAATACGCTAGATTTGTCAGACTACCACTAGATAATATAATATTTAGGGTATTTTTGTACTTTTCCTTAGTGATTACTGATTAGTTTTGTGTACTTTGGTGATTAGCTTTGTGTGTAGGCTCACGCTTATCATGTTGAATAATAATAAACACTTACAAAGTCCTCATACAAAGATGTGTGTACAAAATGATGTGTCATATTATGATTAAGAAAGTGAATTTATAAAGTCAACTTTTTAACTAAAGTTAAATTCATTGTCTAATCATGGTATGACACATTATTTTATACATATATCTTTGTATGGAGACTTTGTAAATGTAGTATTACTCATGTTAGCCTCTTGTACCTATTTGACTTGTATTCTTTTGTAATCATTACTCGAACATATAATATACAAGCTACAGAATTCTCCTGGTATCAGAGTGGTTATTTTGTTGGTTTATGTGGATGATTTGGTTCTCACCGAGTTGTCGTCCTTGGATCTTGCTGATTTTGTCATTGAATTATGTTCCACCTTTGCCTGCCATGACTTGGGTTCTCTTGGTTTCTTTTTGGGTCTAGAGGTTACTCGAGAACTACACATGCTGTATCTCTCACAATGCCAGTATATGGTGGATCTCCTTCGCCGTTTTCAGCTTGAGTCTTGTGCCCCATGTGCTACACCTATTAGTCCATCCAAATCAGTGCTTCCTACTAATGAGGAGCTCCTCTCTGACATTACTTTGTATAGAAGTAAGGTTAGGGGTCTACAGTACCTTACTCTCACTTGGCTTGGCTTGATATTGCTTTTGCTGTAAATTAGGTTGCTCAGTGGTTGTCTGCTCCCACTCACCGTGATCTGCGTGCCCTTAAACAGATTTTCAAGTACATCAAAGGTACTCTCACTTGTGTTCTCACTTTTTATCATGCCTCTGGCTTTCATCTCTTGGCATATTCTAATTTTGACTGTGCCACTAACGTGTCTAGTCGACGCTCTGTTAGTGGTGGTTGTGTGTTCCTTGGTTGGAATCTCGTCTCTTGGACTACCAAGAAGCAAGCTACTATTTCTCACTCTAGTGCCAAATCTTAGTATCGTGCTCTTGCTCATGTTACCGTTGATGTGCGGTGGTTTTGTTTTCTTCTCCAAAAGCTTGGCCTACCTTTGACTTCTTCTCTGTTATTGCTTTGTGACAATCAGTCCGCTCGTCGCATGGCCATAAATTTTGTCTTTCATGCTCGTACTCGACATATTGACATTGACCTCCACTTTATTCGTGAGCTTGTTGCACGAGCTGCTCTTCGTCTTCGGCATGTTCCCACGACCTCTCAACTTGCTGATCTTTTCACTAAGGGCCTTTCTCATGAGCCTTTTCAATCGCTTTGTTTCTTATTGCAGCTTCATGATCTCCCACTTCAATTGTGGAGGAGTATTAGATAATATTATATGTAAGGTATTTTTGTACTTTTTCTTAATGATTAGCTTTGTGTATTTTGGTGATTAGCTTTGTGTCTAAGCTGACACTTATCCTTTTGGTGATTAGCTTTGTGTACAGGCTGACGCTTATCAGGTTAGCCTTTTGTACCTATTTAACTTATATTCTTTTGTAATCATTACTCCAACATATAATATACAAGCTGCAGAATTCTCAACTACTGGGCAATCCATTTTAAGGAAATGATTTAGTATACAATTAATTGATTTATCAGAAGTACGAAACAATTAAAGGAAATCTTATCAGAAATGAGAAATCAAATTGGACAAATAAGTTTTATTTGATACACTTCAGTCCATATTTGTCACTGCATTAATGTGACTTACATTGAAAGTACATATTTCAGGTCTTTATTTTCTTTATCCTGGTTCTGTTATTTCATGATCAACTTCAACAACTTCATCTTCCATGACCATAGCACGCAGTGTTTTGTAAACTTCAAGCATTCTCGGCCTTTGATCAGGGAAGGGCTGAACACACTGACATGCGAGTTTAAGGAATTGAAGGATTTCACCGTCGAATCCTTGACCTATTAGAGACTTATCAAAGTCATAACCAGGAAAGATAGAAGAGCCCTCTGAAAGATGAGTCATTTGATCAATTTCACTAGGCTTCTTTCCGGTGACAAGCTCAAGAAGCACGAGTCCAAAGTTGTGGACATCCTCCTGAAAGAAAACAAATTGCCAAAACTCTCTATTGGCACAAAATCTCTTTGTTGAATCACCGAAATCATTTGGGTTCAAGTGCATCGACTGAGTGAAATTCGACAACTTGGGTTCGAAATTCTGATCAAGTAAGATGGACTTGGAGCTCATGTCAAGATGGACAATTCCAAACTTGTGGTGGAGCCAAGACAAGCCTTTTGCAACTCCAGTTGCAATTTTAACCCTCAAAGGCCACTCCATGTTATGAACTGGCTCACCTTCTGCTGGATGAAGCCAGTCATAAAGGTTGCCATTTGACATGTACTCATATGCTAGAAGCCTTTCGTTCGATTCCACGCAGAAGCCAAGCACTTGAACTATTTTATCAGATCGTCTCAATCTCACCAGAGTTTTTAATTCCAACATCAATTGCTCTTCTAAGTACCGAGAGTCATGAAACTTCTTTACTGCAACGGACAGACCAATTGAGATATTTGCTTTGTACACTATCCCAATTTGTCCCACCCCAACGACAGTATCTTTGCCAAAATTGTTTGTTGCCCTACTAATATACTCCAACCTCAGTCTTGGAATCAGTCTCTCAAATGTAGCTATCTGTGTATAAAACAACTTTTTTTTAAGTTCTGAAGTGTAGACAACCATCAAAATCGAGCTAAAACTTGAATAAAATAGAGATAAATACGAAAGCAATATAACAGACAGACAAATCATAGACGATAAAGAGAGAAAATAATACACATAATTTACCCTGCTTTATCCAGTATAAGCTTCGTCCAACTGAGATAATATTATTGCAATATTTTTTCACTTCTCTCATTTACAATAAATGAATTATCCTATGACTGCTATCACACTCGTAATAAAAGAAAAATATGTTTATTTAGTAAGTTTAAATGAGTAATTATTGACATTTTATGAGAGAAATGTGAATATCCGTAACAGAGACTAACTGTATATGGAGACAAAAGAATACCTCTTTTCGTTCTTGATTCCCTTCTTCTATCTTCACCTGCCTGCACAGATGTGGCAATTTACTCAGTTGATCCGCTCCACTTCTCTTCATTCTCTTTAACATCAAAATGGCCATTGCTGCTAGAGTTATCTTCTTCTTCCGCTTCTTCTCTTGTATCCAAGGCAAGCAGTAGAACACGAAAACCGTCACAACTGAAACTCCAGAAAAATCTCATAACTAACCACAAACCCAATTTTGAATGAGTCAAACAAAATTTCGGTCTATCTTTGCAGGGTTCCAATGGCCCCCCGCAAAGTCCATTGTTGTTGGTGTAGACGAAATTTCAAATTAAATGAAGTAGAGAGATAGACGACTTTCTAAGTCAATTAAGCCTCCAAAACAGGTCAAGTAGTATTCCAAAGCAAGAGAAGAAAAAAAGAAAAGGCCATAATAATGTTTAATTATATATTTGACCCTATAAAATTAACATAGTACATGAGAAAATATGACAGACTGAAGCTGCTGTAATGTTGCTACAGTCCAGGTTAAGCGATTGAGAGGGTCTTCTAAGAAATGTTTAACAGACAGATGCATGAATCTAACTTTCTAAGCATGAATTTATGGGCCCTGTATGATGGACAATACAGAGGAAAATTTGTGAAGATTGTCCTCTTTAGAATTGTACTATGACTTCCAATAAATTTCTTAGTCAATCCCCAGTAAAGGAGTTTACACGTTTTATACTGGCTGCATTTTTCTTAGACTTTTCCTAGATTATACTTTCTTTAAAGCATTTTAATCAACATTCAGAGAAAAAACCAGCATTCCACAGGGTCATCCTGAATCCCCGAGCAGGGGATCGAGGCGGGTCTTGTACTTTAGCAAGAGCACTATAGAACTTGGAGAAAATCAGTAACCATCAATCTAAAAAATGGCTGATAAGAAACGTTAAAGACCTCTTGACAGATTATTATTATTATCAGAAACAAGATTCAGTACAGGAGTGGCAACAAGAAGCAACTGCAAGGACTTGTTTTCCACCATTGCGTCCACTGAGTAGACCTATAAGAGTAGCAGGGGCATTTTCAATCGAACTTTAAGATATATATGCAAACAAGGTTTATACCTGTCAAACTACAGGATTAATTTTCGTCCACTGTCAATTTGTTTTATTTGCCTGTCAAAAGTTTTAAAATTTTTATGTTGAACTTTAGAAGAATGCTATGATTTTTTCTTTAGTTGTCGATCTGCAAATTTATCTGTTCTCTATTAAGTGATCTAAACTTTATCATATTAAGCTGCAAATCATGTAAAGAAGATAACCACACTTGAATCTGAGACTGTCAATCATTTACCAGTACTGATGAGACAGCAGAGAGCTGTACTGAAAATTGTTGATTGTTCACTGGCTTCCAACCTTTTCCAGAATGTTTGTTGTTGTTACAAGAGGAGTTATGTCAAGGTTAACATGTCCTGTTAATTTGTCTCCGTTCTCATTCAGGATAATCCCTGGTATGTCAATGCGCATTCGAAGAAAATGTCTTAAGAGTACAGAATTTCAGATCCTGGAACGGTGTGAAACGGATACCCAATTTAAAATCAGTCAACAGAATTTCATACTAGATCTGATCGATACATAGACAATTATGAGGGGATGGACTTTTGCGTTGCAATATCTCTTGGGAGATACTATTAACTTGTATAGTCAATTACGTGTAAACCGCTGTTACGGGGCTGGACTTTTGAAATTAAATTAAATTGAATCATGTGGTGTCTCCGTAAGGAAAAAAAAATTTCTCTTGTACTGTTAATTTCAGGGGTCCCTATAAATTAATATTATTGTAGACTTTTTTCTTTTCTTTTCTCTTACTTTGGAATACTACTCTACTTGTTGCAGTGTAATTGGGAGCTTGACTTGGAAAGTCGTTGATCTGTCTACTTCATTTAATTTGCAGTCTCATCTGCTCTTTTTCTTAGTAATTTGTAGAAACATGGCTCTCTAGAATCAAAAGTTTGTTTATATATAATCTTTGCTCACTCTTTGTGTGTTATATATCTTTATTAGCTATATTGCATGCACGCAAATGGCTTTTAATTCAAGAGTTTTTTATGTTATTTTTATCTACACGTTAGTCTGGCATCTTGGTTGTGTAACTTTTAGCTTATGCTCTGAGGAAGACATTGCCTGCCTAAGAGCTCTTAAACATTCCTTTGAAGACCCATTGAATCGCTTAACATGGAGCTTTGACAACCTCACGGCAGCTTCATTGTGTAAACTTAATGGCGTTGAATGCTGGAATGATAATGATAATGATATCAGGCTAAACAGACTTTCCTTGGTGGACATGGGACTCAAGGGACTGTTTCCTCGCGGAATTAGGAATTGCTCATACTTAACACACTTAGACCTTTCAGGTAACAACCTTTTTGGACCAATCCCAGAAGATATTGCCTATTTACTACGGTTCTGTGTAAGATTGGACCTCTCCAACAATAGATTTTCCGGTGAAATCCCATCAAGTATATCTAACGTAACTTATCTGAACATCCTAATGCTTGACAACAATCTTCTAACCGGTCAAATTCCTAAGGAAATTGTTTACCTTCGATGGATCAAGGAGTTTAGTGTTTCTAATAATATGTTGTCAGGACCGGTGCCAAACTTTGTCAATCTTAATGTCTCGGAAGAGAGCTACGCCAACAACAGTGGACTTTGCGGGGGTCCGTTGGAACCCTGCAAATATCATCGGTGGAAATTTGACTACTCATTCAAAAGTGGGTTCCTGGTTGGTTATGTGATTTCTACAGTTGTAGCTGTGACGGTTTTCATATCATACTGCTTTCCTTGGGTAGCTGTGAAGGGGAAGAAGAAGATTACTATAGCAGCAATGGTGCTTTTGATGATTAAGAGAATGAACAAGAAATATGAAGCCGATCAACTGAATCAGTCGCCACCTCTTTGCAGGCAGTTGAAGATAGCTGAAGCGGATCAAGTTGGAAAAGAGGTACTCTCTTTATTCATATATATATAGTACCGTGATTTCTATTATAGATATTTCATATTTTCTGTAAAATGTGAATTCTTTAGATGGTATTATAAACATTAAATGACAAACATTCAATCACTTTCATATATATGTGTGTGTGCAAGCTGTTGAAGTTGCCGACCACTTTAACATTGATGGGTTATGCAACCGCATTCGGGGTTCCCGCTGACCGGTCAATGGGCAGGAGTCCCACTCCCCGGTGAGCGGGTGAGGGTCGTCGGGGCAGCACCCCAAAGTCCATAAGCAGTTTTGGGCTTTTTTCCATGTATAACCGTTAAATGATTTCTTTCAAGTTATTAATTCTTTATTGGGTTTGGGCTTAAAAATATGAATTCTTGTAAAACTAGGTTTAATCTCTTAAACCTAGTATTTAAACACACTTTTCTCTTGTAATGAGTAATAACAAACTTCGTTATAAAATGAAAGATGTGAGACAATATTGAAATAATATTGACTCTGCTGGACGTAGCCTACATTGGGTGAACTAGGATAAATTGTGCCGATTACTTTCTCTCTTGATTGTTTGTGTTTGTTTGTTTACTGTACTCTCTATTTCGCACAAACAAGGCGTATACATCCATGTCTTTATGAAGCTAGAATTAAGCTTAAAATGGTAGTATGCGCTTCAGTGCTAATGAAAAAATGTTTTATACACAGATTGCTAAGTTGGAAAATCTGATTGCAAGAATGAACTTAGCATTTATCAGCAACGCAACAAACAATTTTAGTGAAGATAATGTAATTGGGATGGGACAAATGGGTACAATGTACAAGTCAACTCTCTCTAATGGCCAGCCCCTTGCAGTGAAGAAGCTACATGACTGTCCGTACTTAGAAGAGCAATTTATGTTTGAGCTAAAGACTCTGGTGCGATTGAGACAATCTCATAACTTAGTTCAACTCTTAGGCTTTTGCCTGGAGTCGAACGAGAGGCTTCTTGCATACGAATACATGTCAAATGGCAACCTTTATGATTGGCTTCATCCAGCTGAAGGTGAGCCAAGACGTAACATGGAGTGGCCTTTGAGGGTTAAAATTGCAACTGGAGTTGCAAGAGGATTGGCTTGGCTCCACCACAAATTCGAAATAGTCCACCTTGACATTAGTTCCAAGTGCATCTTACTTGATCACAATTTCGAGTCCAAGCTGTCGAATTTTAAACAGTCGATGCACTTGAACCCGAATGGTGAATGTGATTCGACTAAAGAATTCTGCGGTAATAGAGAGTTTTGGCACTTGGATTTTATTAAGGAGGATGTCCACAGTTTTGGACTAGTGGTACTTGAGCTGATCACCGGAAAGGAGCCTAGTGAAATTGACAAGTCCTCGTACAGTTTTGAGCGGATTACTCATCTTTCAGAGAGCTCTTCTAAGTTTCCGGATTATGCCATTGATAAGTCTCTAATTGGTCAAAGATTTGATGACGAAATCCTTCAGTTACTTGAAGTTGCATCTCAGTGTGTTCACCCCTTTCCTCATGAAAGGCCAACAATGCTTCAAGTGTACAAATCACTGAGTAAGATGATCATGGAAGATGAAGTTCCTGAAATTGGTGAAATAACAGAAACAGAATAGAAAAAATAGATAACAGGTTACTTATAGTGGGAAAATAAAGACTTGAAATATGTACTTTCAAGATACTAAATACAATACTGATCATCGGTTATCCAATTTTATTTCTCTTCTCTGCCAAGATTTCTTTTACTTGTTTCATTCTTTTGAGACAGCATTGTATATTGAATTTACTATCTAATATAGCTTTAAACGGCTAAAGATCCATTGTCATTACAGTTTGCATACCTTGAGGTTTGCTTTTAACTTATTAAAAGCAAGTTTATCTCCTGGTCATGGTTGACATAAGTTGAGGATGGGCATGAGCCCCTCCAGGGGACCTGGACCTATACTCAGTCTACCTTTCTAATACAATAAGGATAATGTGTACATATCAACCGGTTCAATGTTTCTCATAATCACTAGTCTGGAACAGTGCCCAACTTTGCCCATATCATTTTTATAAGAGATCTTAATTGTTTAACAACAAATTTATTTTGATATGAACATATACAAGACAAGGCTTCAGTTACTCCCTAGCAACTAAAACTATTTGTTTCCCAATATTGCGTCCATTGAATAGACCAACAAGAGCAGCAGGAGCATTTTCAAGGCCTTCAGTAATGTCTTCAAGATAAACAATTTTTCCTTCTCGGATCAAAGGCAAAACAACTTCCAGGAACTTTGAGTATTGAGGAACGTAATCGACAACTACGAATCCTTCGATGCGAACCCGCTTTATAACAATGTTCAACAAATTGCGTACACCTTCAGGCTGGCGAAGATAGTACTGTGAGATCATTCCACACACCACAATTCGACCCTTAATTCTCATGTTTAGAAGCACTGCATCCAGTATTTTTCCTCCTACGTTGTCAAAGTAAATGTCAATGCCCTCAGGAAAGCACCTGCAAAAAATAAAAAAAATATGGAAGTTTCCAATGAGTTTCCATTCCAAGAATTTTTCCAGTTTGAGGGGCAAATGGCCCCTTCCATCTCCTCTGTTCCTGAAACATCACCTTTTCAAAGCTGCATCCAAGTCATGCTCCTCCTTGTAGTTGAAAGCATCATCAAACCCCAGCTTGTTCTTCAAAATTTCAACCTAAAGTATTTGTACGAGAAAAAATTTAACTATAATCACAAATCAGATAACAGGGACTTCACCCGTATCTACTTAGTCAAGCGGACTGAAGCATTAAAAACTGAATCTCAGACTTATTCACTAGTGATGTGAGATGTGACAATAAGGTATTCCAAGAGGAATTCGCTCACCTTTTCTTTACTTCCAGCACTTCCAACAACGTAGCAGCCCATTAATTTTGCAAATTGCCCAACAAGCTGACCAACTGCACCTGCTGCTGCTGAAACAAAGACATATTCCCCTTTCTTAGGAGCAGCTACTTTATAGAAACCAGCCCAAGCAGTGATACCAGGCATACCTATGAACAAAACACAAACACAAACACAAAAAAGTGATCATTATCAATTCACATTGCTTCATTGCCATCTCATTGTCAAGGTATTCAAACTAGAATTAACACTATCCTCGAGTTTATCAACGAATTAATATTCTAAAAGTAGTGTGTACCTGAGAAAATTCATCTCAACAGAATATAAAATAATATATTAATGGTATGCAAATGAAAGACCTTGAGATCATCAAGAGAGGAAACAGAACTCACCAAGAATTCCAGTATAGTAAGACAAGGGAACATCAGTATGATGGATTTTGAAGAGGTTTTCTGGATTCTCAACCACACCGTACTCTTCCCATCCAACAGTTCCCCAAACCAAATTCCCCTTCTTAAAATCCAGATGCCCTGAATCCAAAACTTTAGCCACTCCAATCCCTTCCAATGGCTGCATACATTTTCCGCCATTAACTTAAATGCGTCAGAAAGCTTGCATAAGAAAAACAAAAACAAAAACAAAACAAAATAAAAATATTTGGCCTAATAGCTTCGACTTTTCGGATCCTGTAATTACTTAACATGATATTAAAGCCAAATATCTGAACAATGCTTACAGAGCCGGGTATGAAAGAATTGAAATCAGGATTTTCAAACTTCTTCATGCGGCTCCCCATGAAAGGATCACAAGACAAGTAAAGATTCTTCACAACAACAGCATTTGAACCTGGCTCTACTTTCAAAGATAATGAACTTGTCTTCACCACCATGTCAGATTCTTTTGGAGCTGTATTAATAAAGTGCTTCAATATCACTTGCTTGTTGATCATCACTTCACCAACACTAGCCATTATTATTTTTTGTTGCTGCAACATGAAAATTATCGTTTGTATTTATATCTCGTTTAAATTCAAGTGATTTGAGTCAGTAATGACGATTGTATTGTGCAACAGTGGAAGACACTTCTGGTTTTGGTTTACGTTTACTTGTGTGATCGATATCGATCATCCTCGCTTGTGGACTAGATTTCTCTTCAATCTTCATTGGTGCATTGATTCTAAGGCTTACCACATTCTCAAAGCACATTTTAATAGAAATTCTCCAAGAATGGGTTTACACTTTTCCACAAAGCTCATTTCAAAGCCCAGTTAAAGGCCCAATAAAAGGGCAACCCTACTGGGCCAGCCCATTTTAACTATACTTAATGCAAGAATGATAACATATTACATTTAGTTATTTTCATTTTAGTAAAGATTGGTTTAAAACCCAGTCTTACAAATTTTCTCTCATAATCTTAACGTGGTAGTTTGTAATTAGTCAATTAGTAATTGGATAGACAAGACCTATTATTAGACAGGTGAGATCCATTACAAACTGACTAATTGTAAACTGTCATGTCAGAATTGTAAGAAAAAGTTTGTAAAGTTGGGTTGTAAGTATAGTATTACCCTTTTTGTTTATATTTCCTATCATAATATAAACAAATTTACTTAAATATAATCAAATTTATATTTATATGTTTTGATTATACTATGTTTTGTCTTATCTTTATAATGAAAAGTTTATTATGTCTTATATGTGAGAATGTTATAAAAAGTTATTTTTATCGAACTGAAATTACCAAGTCGTGCTTTCTGAAATCAAAACCTGAAGAGATAATAGCCGCATGGTACAAGCAAAAGTATTGTTTAGATGTTTAAAAATTAGGATGAATTGCAAAAGTTGTTCAAATAGGCAAAATAGAATAAATTTTATTCAAGCATTAACTAACAATATAGAACAATGAATTTATAAAAATCCAAGATATTTTATATAATTGTCTGTATTTTAAGCCTAAATTTTAAGTTAATTCATAAATTTAAAGAACTCATAAAGTACTTAAATAAAATATCATGCATTGTAATAGATGAAAGGAAGTGTTCGATTTAAAAAATATGACCGTCATCATTCATATATTGAGTTTTTATGTAAGTAATGCTTGCTATAACTCATATTATGGCCATATTCGGATTAATCACTTATATATTATTTTTCAAATTGCGGCATGAGGTAAAGTGGGAGAATATAAGATTTGATATGACTACATATCACAATTATACAGTTGAGAAAATGCAGTTGAAGGTGGTTTAACGAGTTGTTTAACTATCTCTCTTAATCATTGATGGAAGGTTAAAGGTAGTTGATGGGAGTAATCTTAATCTCTAGCCTAGCCATTATAAATAGATCATCTTCTCCATCAAAGTGATGTAACATAATACAGAATTCTAGAGACATAGGTTAGAAGACAACTCTTAAACACTCTCTCACAAATCATCTATATTTGGCTTTCTATAACACTTGAACAATATGACTAGAGGGAAGATGTAAAGCTTATGAAGGACCTCGGAGCAAATTCATATGAATTCTCTATTGCCTGGCTGAAAATTCTACCAGTAAGTACTTTTTAACCAAACATTAAATTTTTTCTTACTAAAGAGCAGTACTAAAATTTAACAAAGAAATTTAATTGTGTACATGGAAGCGTGGGTGGTGGAATAAAGCAAGAGGGTATTATTTTTAATTTTTGCTTATATATATAATATTAATGTAACTTATAGCAAATTGAAATACAAAGACACAACACCAATCAATAAATTCTATAACATTTTTTCGCCAATGGTCTATAAGAAAAAATCTATTAATATTTTTCACTGCACCAAACAGCCATTGGGCTACAAATGCTTCGGCCGGTTGGTTCTTATTTATGATTATGAGGAGTTTCCAGTTAGAAGGCCCAACGAGAGGCATTCCCACCAGGCCAGCCCACTTTTACTATATTATTATATTAGCAGGATCGATACTTTCTACTCTTCAAGATCTGATTTTTTTTTTTTTTTTTAAAAAAAATAGAGGAAAAAATCCAGATGGCATAAATTAGTGTTCGTCAGATTCTAATATATATTTTCTACGGTAAAACTATAATTAAAACCTAATATTACAAACTTTCTCTTACAATCTTAATATGGTAGCTCGTAATTAGTGAACTTACAATGAGTTTTATCTACTCAACAATAGGTTTCGTCTGTCCAATTGTAAACTAACCAATTACGAGCTGTCACATAAGATTATGAGAAAAGATTTGTAAGATTGAATTGTGAGGTTATCTTTATTGTATTTCCTATCTGGACAAAATCAAATCCAACTTTATATGTTTTGATTATACTATGTTCAATTTGTATGTAATGGAAAATTCATTGACTATATGTTATGTGTAAGAACATTATCAATGAGATTATTATTATTATTATTATTAATGGGATGTAATACACAGAGTGGAAAAAAAATACAATTAAAAAAAGGCTTGAATTATTTTACTCCCTAGAAACTGAAACTACTTGTTTCCAAACATTTTCCGAACCTGCAAGAGCAGCAGGAGCATTTTCGAGACCTTCAGTAATGTGTTCAAGATAAACAATTTTCCCTTCTCGGATCTTAGGCAGCACATCATCTAAAAACTCTGAGTATTGAGGAAAATAATCGAAGACTACGAATCCTTGCATACGAATCCGCTTATGAATAATTATCCTCAAATTCTGTACCCCTTCAGGCTCTTCAAGATTGTGCTCTGCACTCATTCCACACGCCGCGATTCGACCATTCAGTCTCATGTTTAGAAGCACTGCATCGAGCATTTTTCCCCCTACGTTTTCGAAGTAAATGTCAATGCCTTCAGGAAAGCACCTGGAAAAAAAAAAATGGAAGTTTCTGATGAGTTTCCTTCTTGTTACAAATTTTTTCAGTTTGTAGGGGCAACGGTCCCTGCTTCCATCTCCTATGTTCCTGATACTTTACCTTTTCAAAGCTGCATCCAAGTCTTTCTCCTCCTTATAGTTGAAAGCATCATCAAATCCCAACTTGTTCTTCAAAATTTCAACCTAAAAGTATTTGTAAGAGAAAAGATTAATTATGGATAACAGGGACTTCAGCATTATAAACTGAATCTTAGACTTATTCACAAGCAATGTGACATGTGACAATGAGATATTTCAGGAGAAATCGGCTCACCTTTTCTTTACTTCCGGCACTGCCAACAACGTAGCAGCCCAATAACTTCGCAAATTGCCCAACAAGCTGGCCAACAGCGCCTGATGCTCCTGAAATGTAGACATATTCTCCTTTCTTAGGAGCAGCTACTTTATGGAGACCGACCCAAGCAGTCATTCGAGGCATACCTATGCATAAAACGAAACAAAAAGAACAAAAAATTCGCTATCAATTCATATTACTGGATTCCCCTTTAATTGCCAAGTTATTCCAAATAGAAAATCCTGAGATCATCCACAGAGGAAGAAAGAAAAAAGAAGGAAAAACTCACCCAGAATTCCTGTATAGTAGGACAAGGGAACATCAGCATGATGGATTTTGAAGAAGCTTTCAGGATTCTTAATCACACTGTATTCTTCCCATCCAACTATTCCCCAAGCAAGATCCCCTTTCTGAAATTCTGGATGCCCTGAATCCATAACTTTTGCCACTCCAAACCCATCCATTGCCTACATGTTTACACCATCAACTTAATTAGAGAGCTTTCATATGTACAAATTAAACAAAACAGAACAATACAAAATCCTTCATCAAACATCTTTTTAAGTTTTCGAATCCTGTAATTACTTAACATGATATCAGAACTAAAGTAATGCTTACAGAGCCAGGCGTGAAGGAAGAGAAATCGGGATGTTCAAACTTCTTCATGCGGAGTTTCACGTAAGGTTCAACAGACAAGTAAAGATTCTTCACAACAAGACCCTTTGAGCCTTCTTCTACTTTCAAAGATATAGAACTTGTCTTCACCGCCATGTCAGATTCTTTCGGAGCTCCATTAACGAGTTCCTTCAATATCACTTGCTTGTTGTCAATCACTTCTTCTCCACCTCCCATTATTGCTTGTTTTGCTTTGCTTTGCTTTAATTTTTCACAACTCAAATCCGTTATGGTTTTTTTTTTTTTTCTTTTCTTCTTTTGTCTCTCTGGGTTGCCGAAAAATGATGATTGTCTGTCTCTTTATAGTTGCATGATATAGTTTTTTATATCGTTTTCGTTTTGTATTCTTGTTTAAGTTCATGTCATTCGAGTCAGCACAGTTAAATAGATGAATTGATCTGGTTTCAACAGTACACCAGATATAAGAATGTCATTAATATTTATAGTAGTTACATGATAGAGAGAAGTTCAAAATAACAAACAGAAAGATTACATAGAGATCTACGTAACAGACTTATCAGATAAGCATTTCAAACTATTATTGTTACAGCAGACTTGTCCTTCAATATCTCCTTCAATATCTGACTGTTGAGTATCATGCATGGGGATGGACTCTGTTCTNCCTTTATGTTTGTTTTTTTACAAAATACCCCCTATAATAAAACATTAAAAGTTAACAAAAATACCCCTAACCCACCCTCAAACACCCCCAGCCGGCGACCACCACCGGAGGTGGCCGGAGTCGCCGTATGGGCGCATGACCGGTTGGATCTTGCTGGTCATGCGTCGATATGGCCTTTTCCGGCCAGATCCACGATGGATCTGGTCGGAAAAGGCCAGATCTACGGTCAGATCTGGCCGTCAACGGCCAGATCTGGCCGTATTTGCTCTCAACGATGGCCAACAAACGGTCGTCGTTGATGGTCAACGACGACTGTTTGTTGGCCGTCGTGACCGAGTGTTACAGCCAAAGATCTGGCCGTCAACGGCCAGATCTTTGGCCGTAGATCTGGCCTTTTCCGGCCAGATCCACCGTGGATCTGGCCGGAAAAGGCTAGATCGGCGCACTACCGGCCAGATTCAGCCGGTAGTGCGCCATTCTACCAGATTCCAGCCATTTTCCGGTGGTGGTGGCCGAAATCTGGTAAATGTGGATTATTGGGGTGTTTTTGTAATTTAAAAAAAATATTTAGGGGTATTTAATTAAATTATCAAATTTAAGGGGTTTAAAAAAGGTTGAATAATATTGGGAGTAGTATTCCCAAAAATCTGAATTTTTGGGAATTTTACTGTTTAACTTTTTTGGGAATACTAAAAGTAGTATTCCCAAATGTGAAACAAACGCAGCCATTGGCTGATGTCTATCCTCGCTTGATTAAAATATATATTAGGGAGCACGACATTTTTCCACCCAAGGTTTGATGAAACGACACTTTCCCACCCATCAAGTTTCAAATGACACTTTCCCATCCTTTGTTAGGTTTTGTTAGTTTTTTCAGTTAATATTTGATCAAAAAGATGAAAATACCATTAAATAGTTTATTTCTTAATTAGTTTATAATAAATTAAAATTAGTTAATTCAAAGTCTTTATTCGATTATTTATTAGTCCAAGTATAAAGATACATTTTTTTCTTTATTTATTTAATTAATTAGGAATATTAATTTATTATGTTAATTAGTAAAAATGAAAAACATTATAAATAATAGTGATGTGATATTAATGACATTACAAATAAATATTAAGATTATATAATTTTAAACAATTTTATAGCATTACTCATAACTTTTAAGGTGAGGTTAACTATTTTTCTTTTTTGAATTTTTAATATTTGACTTTTTGGTTAATTAAAAAATAATAAAAATTTTATAAAGTAAAATATTTAAAGGTATTTTCATCTTTTCAGTAAAATATTAATGAAAAACATAACAGAACCTAACGAATGGTGGGAAAGTGTCATTTTGAAACTTAATGGGTAGAAAAGGGTCGTATCACCAAACCTTGGGTGGGAACATGTTATTCTCCCTATATAGTATACCATAATTTAATATTAATTTTTATAAGAATTGTCTGGGGAAAAGAGTTGGTTGATTTAATATTTAATAAAATACACATGGGAATCTGCCGTTAGAGAAAGTGGGTGGTTGATAATGACTATAAAAGGGATTTGCTTATTTCATTGTGATAAATAATAAGCCGCCGTAATAATGTTATAGTTTATTCTTTTATTATACCAGTCAAATTCTAACTAATCTTTATCATTTTATCGGTCAAATTCATTTTTATTTTGGTTTTTGAAAGAATAAGAATATTATTGATAACAATCTTACTATAGTTTGGATTAATTTACGCGTATCTCAACTAGCCTCTTGACCTCAAACAAGACTCCTTGACCCCTAATAAGGATTCGAAAACAAGGCAAACCTTGCGGTCTATAACCAATAATATTAACAACTATTTTTGTGATTCGAACCTGAGACCATATGAGAAAACAAATCTCTTGGTCCTAGCCTTTACCACTTTGTCAACTCTTGTTGGTTAATTTAAACCAAATCTTTCTTCATTGCTCTATTGATTCTAAAACTTGCTGCAATTTCAAAACATTTTGTAATGCAAAGCTGATTACAAGCCCAAGTTTCAGGCCCAATTAAGGGGCAACACTGCCAACCAGCCCCTTTTTACTGTACTACATTTGGAGGACTGGTACTTCAAGTTTTGATTTATTTTCCTATTTTAATAAGAAAAAAGAAAAGACAAAAATTAGGGTAGAACACATTAGTATATGCAAGAATATATTTATAACCATCTAGACCAAATTAAGTAGATATCATGTATGATATTTCATAGCACTTAGATAGAAGAGTAAAATTTTAAATATTATATGAGTTTTTAAACTGTCAAAAATGTGTTTGGGGTTGAATCCCAAAAGCAAAATCTTGAGGATAAAAACTAAAGCTGATAATAACTTAGGCTTCGTTTGGTTTATTATTGGGTAGTTTTTAGAATAATCTTTTGAAAAAAGTTAACTTGGGTGGGTATTACGATGTAAAATTTTAAAAATTAACATAAATACCCCCTATGTTTATTTATTTACTAAACACCCTTATAATAAAATATTCAAAGTTAACAAAAACACCCCCAATCCACTCATAAATACGGATAGCCGACCACCACCACCGGAGGGTGGCCGGAGTCGCCATATCAGCGTATGATCAGCTGGATCTTGCCAGTCGTGTGCCGATATGGCCTTTTCGGGTCGAAAAATGTCAGATCTACTGCTAGATCTGGCCATTGACTGCCAAATCTAGCCGTATTAGGTGGTCAACGACGGCCAAAGATACGGTCGTCGTTGATGGTCAACAACAACAATAACTTGGCCGTCGTTGACGACTGCCTACGGCCAAAGATCTAGTCGTAGATCTGGTCGGAAAAGACTAAATCGGCGCACTACTAGCCATATTTAGTCGGTAGTACGCCATTACATCAGATTCTGGCCAGCTTTCGGCAGTGGTGATCGGAATCTAGTAAATTTGGGTTGCTAGGGTGTTTTGTCAATTTAAAAAAAAAAAATAATTTAAGGGGTTGTTTAGTTAAATAAACAAATTTAGGGGTTTTAAAAGAAATTGAATAATTTAAAATTATATTTTGAAAATAGGTGAACCAAACACAAATTTTGTATTAACTTTTTTGGTATATGAACCAAATGGAGCCTTAGCAACTTTGGTTAATTTTCAAATACTATAAATGGATGAGTAAGAAACAAATTAAAAATTACAAACTATAGATTATACTACCAATGTGTAAGTAAGAAATAAATGCTAGGTGATCTTTTAATTTAAAACTTTATTTAAATTAGGACACAAATCCCGGTAAATGTGAAAAAAAAATGTAGAGATAATACATTAAATAGACAGATAATACAATTAAAGAGTGAAAAAATGATAATACAATTGAAAGAAGGCTAGAATAACATTACTCCCTGGAAACAACAACCACTTGTTTGCCAACATTGCCTCCACTAAATAGACCAAGAAGAACTGCAGGAGCATTTTCAAGACCTTCAGCAATGTCTTCAAGATAAACAATCTTCCCTTCTCGGATCAAAGGCAGCACAGCCTCCAAAAACTTTGCATATTCAAGAAACTAATCGTAATTGAATGTTTAACTGCAACAAACCAGATAACTCTGGGCAGGAGCTAAGCCACTAAGGGCTCAATGGGGGTATGAGCCCCCACTGACCTTGGAGAATTCTTCGTCTATTCAAAATAAAAATATTAATTGATGCCTCACTTTCCATTCATGAATCATGAACAAATCTTGTCTTCTTGAAGAGCAATTATTATAACTTCACTGCTCAAGGAAGTATACAAATGCTTAGCTTTAGGGGTAACATATAAAAGTATATGTCGACAAATATAAAGGGATCGGTATTGAAAACCTAAGTGTGCCGTATGTCAATCAGCTGCCATTAATTGCTCATCTTTGACGTCTTGCCATGCCCTTGAGCAGCATCGACATTTGTTTCTCGACTCCTTTTAGTTGCATCACTTGATCATGTCATAATCAAGTACAGGACATGAATATTTTAGACATTTGAATTGTTCTTATGGCTCATATTACATTAAAGGCTGCCCCGCAATTTTATGAAAAGAGTCTTTCAGTAACATAAAATGTTACAATTATAATATGAAACGTTGAACTTCTATTGTAGAATGTCAACTTAAAACAAAAATGACTTGCACAAGAATCACTATGTTCCATCCTAAAACTGTAAAGCTTCATGTTACCAAAAAGAAAATTGATTCTGTAGTGTTACAGCGCTTAAATTGTACCAGAAGCTATGCTATATATAACAAATACGTGTTATGTAGATAGAATGCAAAATTTCTAGTTAATGATAAATATTACCATCATTAACTAAAGTTTCTTGAGCAAAACATGGAGCTTCACTACCATTTGGTTGCTATGCAGGAGACAGCAGAATGGGTAATTGACAAGTACGAAGTGCTCATTTGTGTCAATGCTTGGAGGCTCAGCTTTTATCATGCCTATCAATTACATGCACTAGTAATACACATTCATGTATGAAGTACAACAGCTGACTTTATCGACATGTAAAAAAAATTGGCCAAAAAACCGATAACCTTTCACTTACTTTTTGGATCCTGCCCAACCTCCATTCAAAGATTTCTAG